GAAGAGGGATAAATGTACTTGTTTCAAATTAAAATAAACTATGTTGGGTCACCGCTATAAGTCACCCTGGAATACATGTGTTCCACACTAAAGTCATTGACGTTTGTAGGAACTGATGTGTTATAAGTCCTCCCATTCCCCGCTGCAACTTTCTTTCTCTTTCCCGCATATCTATGTGTTGTTTCAGAGGGATAGCCGTGTTAGCCTGTAACTGAAAAAAATTAAAAAACAATAAATAGTCCTGCATCAGCTTAGAGACAACCAAAAAATGTAGATGGTATCATCTGAAGAAGTGGGTTGTAACCACGAAAGCTCATGATACTATCTACATTTTTTGTTAGCCTTTAAGGCAGGTGTGGGCAATAATTGTAGTCCAGGGCCATTTCAAAAAATTTTGAAGTGGCCTAGGGGCCAGGACACTTCTGTGCTTCCCTGCCCACAGACCCTTATTGGCCTGGGGGCAGAGGAAGTGCATTAAGTCTTTGCACCTATGCCCTGAAGAGAACCGCCAGCTGTTCTGAACAGCTGGCAGTTCCCTCTAGGCGCCTGTGCCCCTGGCATCAGGAGGAGACTTTGCGTGCTCTCCCTGCCCCCAGGTCAATCAGGGTTTTTAGGCGGGGAGACCACAGGAAATCTCTCGCTCTCTGATTCTGCCCTGCCAGGGGGAACCATGCTTAGAGTCAGCTGCCAGCAGAGTGACAGCTGGCGGTTGACTCTAAGCATCACGTGCCCCTTGCAGGGCAAGAGGAGACTTTGCATGCTTCCCCCCGCCCCTAGGCACTGATTGGCCTGGGGGTGGGGAGAGTGCGCAAAGTATTTCACTCCCTGCCCCTACCCTGCAAGGGACACGTCCTGCTTAGAGTCAACCCTAATGGTTGAACTTAAGTGCTGTACGCATGGGAGGAGTCTTTACATGCTCTCCTTTCCCCAGGCCTGATTGGCCTTGTGGGCAGGGGAGTGGCAGGGCATCCGTGGGCCAGATCAACCCTCTTGGTGGGCCAGATCCAGCCCCCAGAGGCCCTTTTGCTATCCTCTGCTCTAAGGTGTGTCAGGACTATTGTTGTGTTTTGTTGGGTTTTTTTGCCTGTTTCTCTTTCACCAAGAATGTCAGCACAGGTCTTTCTTTCCCAGCCATGGGTACTTTTGTGACCAGAGCCTCCTAATTCCTCCAGTAATTTATGCTCCTCCTGTTAGGCTACATGCTCTCCTTAATCAGTGGTTGCAATGGGTAACTTGACTGTTTGTTAAGTCTGCTGGAATGCTGATCAACTTGTCATCTGTTTTTGAAGGATTAGTATTTCTGCACTGGTAGCAGTGCTTGTTTCAGCATACATCTGGAACATTGTAATCAACAAAGTAGTCTTGGATATTTGTGCTTTACGTTAGTAACGGTCAATAGATTATACCAGGAGCGGGCAACAATTTTTGGCCGGGGACCACTTCAAAACTCCAGAAGGGGCAGGGCCTAAACTGGAAGGGGCAGGGCCAGGATGATTCTAGGCTACCCCACCCCCAGACCATAATTGGTCTGAGAGTGGGGGAGCCCCTTTGCACCCCCTTCCCACTAGGTACCCATGCCCCTGACAGGGCGGGAAGAGGCTTCCCATGCTCCCCCACCCCCAGGCCAATTGGGGGCGGGGAGCGCACTAAGCCTCCTCCCACCCTGTGAGGAGCATGTGGCACTTTGATGTGCCGCATGCTCCTCGCAGAGCCGGGGCAGGGCAAAGGAAGCTTCACGCAGCTCCCCTGCCACCAGACCCTGATTGGCCTGGGAGCAGGAGGAGTGCGTGAAGCCTCCTCCTGCCCTACCTCCATCCTGTGAGGAGCATGAAACACTTCTAAGAGCCACATGCTCATCACAGGGCAGGAGGAGGCTTTGTGCGTTCCCCCCACTCCCCAGCCAATCAGGGCCTGGGGGCGGGGGAGTTCCGCGAAGCTTCCTTCGCCCTGCCCCCGCCCTGCACAAGTATATGGCACTTTGAAGTGCTGTGAGCTCCTCGCAGGGCAGGGGGGAGAGCAGAGGAAACTTTGTGTAGCTCTCCTGCCCCCAGGCTAATTGAGGCTTGGGGGTGAGGAAGTGCATGACATCTCCTCCCGCCCTGCAAGGAGCGTGTGGCACTTTGAAGTCCTCGCATGGCGGGAGGAAGTTTCGCGCTCTCCCCTGCCCCCAGGTCCTAAATGGCCTGGGGACGGGGGAGCAGCAGGGCCTCCGTGGGCCAGATCAACCCACTTGGCGGACCAGATCTGGCCCACGGAGGCCTTTTTGTCCATCCCAGGATTATACAGTAATATACAATAAAATAAATGTTTTTATTTAGTTTTCCCTCAGTAAGCTCCTCTTATGCATACCAATTTGATCAGGTAATTTATTGGTGGGAAAGGAGAGAGAAAGAGAGAGATTGTTATTTTTAATTCTTGGAAGGCACACCAATATTATGGTGCTGTGCAACATACAAAGAACCTAAATAGTATATGTGACAAACAACCCATGGCAGAGGTTAGCCACATCACTTAATGCTACTGGAAAGTACACAGATACAATGGATGATGCATAAGGCATAAGAACCTTCTTCAATTTAACATCCTGATTTAGATGCCTTATTCTTTTCCTTTGTTTTTCCTTGGAACTGGGTCTTTGCTTTAAATACTTTTTGAGCATCACAGAGGAGGAAATCACACCTACAGAGATGAGACCAAATATGAAAGGTAACTCACGTGACTATCAGGCTGGCTTAATGCAACATGACAGCTGAAAGAATGAGGATTGTGAGACACAGAATAACCAAACTAGGTTAACTGCCTTTTAAAAGAACTAGCACTCTGCTTTTGTACCTGCTTGCTCTCCACAACATAAATTGGACATCACCACCTCTGGATCATGATTTTTCTAATATCTATTTCCTATTTACTTCTACTCATTCTGGAGATATGGGGCATATAAAGATTGCTGAGAAATGTTCTTACTGTGTGGCTATTTACAGGGCTTGACAAACCGCAGCGAAATCTACTTGCCAGCCCCTCACTGCACATACACAAGACCTGCATTGTGCATGCGCACACTGCAGGTGAATGGGGTGACTGGCTGAAATCTATTCGCCATGGGTAAGTAGATTCACTGATTTGTCGAGCCCTGGCTATTTATTTGATGAGGAAAAAGCATGCATAATTTTTTTGCCATTGCTTATATCACTGAACATCATGCATCTTTGTTAGCAAGTTGGGTTGATGGCTTCAAGAAATAATTCTAAGATTCCATAGTAGGTGGTTCCAGGTGTACCTCTATACAGTTGTCTCCTAGAAGGTTGCATTTGAATTGAAAATTAAATAATGGCTTTATATGAGGTGTGGATTCAATTGGATTTTGTTTGGAAACTTTCTTTGAACTACAATTTCAAGTTGCATTTTTTTTCTAGTATTGACTCTGGAAACCTCTGGAGAACTCTTAGAGACTCCAGTAGCACCATGGGTTTAAGAAGACTCTGGAATAAATCCCATTGCCAGGAAAACTTCTTATCTGCTCTTGGAATAGATGTAAATCAAAAGGTAATTTAAAGATATGTTTGGCTAAAAGACCAGTGTAAGTGTATAATTTTAATTTGTATTAATTTAAGTAGTCTAGGCAGAAAAAAAATCATTTCTCAGTCACAAAGCTTCTCTAGGAACCATGTTTTGGTGGATTGCAAATACAAATGTTTTCCACTAAGGCCTTTTTGATGATGTATGAGCTTGTCTACACAAGAAGTTATTCCTGATTAATGTCTTGTGTGGACACACTTATTCCAGAATCATGACATAAATCAAGAATAGTACCACTTTAAATTCACACTCCTTTATTCCAGATAAACTGTTATGTGTAGACAAATCCTTAGTTTATGATGTTCTCTGCCAAAATGTTATAACTATTATTATGGTGCAAAGACCAAATTCTGGCTGTCTTTGCCAATTTATAACAGAATTTACTGGAAACTCCATCGTAATGACAATATATCACTTTGTTTTGATTACAGCGTCAATTTTAGGTTTAGTTGGCAGAGTTCCACTAATGTAGGGATTTTTTGTATAACTTGAGGTAGAGAAATTATCAGAATTTATATAAGATATTCTGAGTTCAGTCCAGTGCCCAACGAAGTCAGTTGAAGCAGATATTGAACTGTTCCTTGTGAAAAACAAAATCACTTGGGCTGATTCAGTATCATACGCTTGAATATCTGGCCTACCTGTGGCAGGTTGGAACACAATAGTCAGTTTGCCTTTACGCAAATCATTTCACCCATTTTAGGGGAAAAATGGAGAAACTGTATTTTAAATAAATTAAAAGTGTAAAAAAAGCAAAATTTTAATCTCAAAGTGGAATTTTTTACTGTTTTTTTTTATGTTGGAATGATTATTTGGAGGTAGCTTTTCATTATTATCACTTGTTTAGTTAGCATAAATTTAATCTTTTTGCTCTGTTTTTCAGAGGTAGCAATATCTTCATTAATAATTGCTGTTAGGTTCTTGATAGTTGTCTATTTGAAACCCTTGGTGTTAACTGGATTAATCAACCTTTCACACAAATTTATCATACAAAACTGTAGTGCTGGTTAGTCTCATGAGACCTGGTCTACACATGAGTTATCCTAGCATAACTAGGGGTGTAATTTTATTTTTAATTGAAGGAGCATTACTACTGTTTTCATGTCAATGCAAGTATATCAGTATAGAAGTGCCTTATACTGGTACAGTTAAACACTATTTCTGTGAAGGAATAACTATGATGGCATAAAATGCCTTTATGCCAATATTAGAGAGATTAGATGGGTCAGGTAATATCTTTTATTGGACCAACTTCTATTGATAAAAAGAGAGAAGCTTTTTAGCTATACAGAGCTCTTCCTCTGGTCCGGGAAAGTTACTCAGGGTATGTCTACGCTACCCTCCTAGTTCGAACTAGGAGGGTAATGTAGGCATACCGCACTTGCAAATGAAGCCCGGGATTTGAATTTCCCGGGCTTCATTTGCATAAGCGGGGAGCCGCCATTTTTAAAACCCCGCTGGTTCGAACCCCGTGCAGCGTGGCTAGGTAGTTTGAACTAGGATTCCTATTCCGAACTACCGGTACACCTCAGATTTATATTTTAGCTTCCAAAAATATCTGTTTGTTTATTAGTTCTGAGAGGGGAACATTTTTTCACTAGGCAGCAGCCCATTTCTGAGTAAAGCATTCTGACATTGATGGACACTTAATATTATGAAAAGTGTTTTAAATTTTGCTCCTTGTTTACTAGGATGTTTCAGGAGACAGCAAAGATGATTTGGAGGAGACAAACATTAAAGTAAATGAAAACTCAGAGGATGATGGATTCAATATTAGTAACTGTAAAACACTAATTCAAACCAAGGTAAGAGTTTTTCTAAGTTTTTCTACATTAGTGAGTGGTCTCCTATTTTACATGTTGGGATTTTCCCTGCCCAGTTTGTGTTTTAACATACTTTCTAAAGGGACCTGGCAGTTCTACAGCCAAATTTTGTTTTTTTCAAATGGTCTTGGAAATTGTGCACGAAGTACTGTGTATGTAGCAAGTGCAAAGTGAGGTAAGATTGGGAGAGTTAGAACTTCAGGCCATGTGTTATTTATGGAACTTAATTTGCACGATTAATATGGGCCCTGTGCTAAGATTGCCGCAAACATGTCAGATTGATTGATGACACTTTGGTGATTGAGGCTGTCCAGCCACCTTACACCAGGATCAATGTGATGAAGGCAGGAATAAAAAGAGAGCAACACTGACTCAACTCACTTTTATGAAACATTGAAGAAGGAAGGGAAGAAAGAGGGAGGAGGCAGTTGTATCCAACTGGTATTTCAGGTATTCAGAATGAATCAGAGGTTAGGCTTCTACAGCTGATGGAAAGAATAGAGAAGGTGAGAAATAAACAAAACTTCTCTCAATAGAAAACTCAATAGCACACTCTGAAATAAAGCAAAATGGACTTTGGGGGTTTAGGAGCAAAGGACCAGGATATTACTAGGATTTAGCCCATTTGTGTTAAGTATGCTCAGAAAGATCTGACAGGAAATACTTACACGAGAGTTGATACTTTAATCAGATAATGATTTACCAATTTAAAATAACATTTTTTGGTGGCTGTGTACTTTGTCCTTGAATTTAGTTTCTGTTTCAAGCCAGCATTTGCACATGCTGGGGGCAATTGCTAGTGAGTATTGCAAGTTCCATCAGTTTTCTGCTAAAGGAATTCAGTTCATTTTGAAGGAAAGCTTCACATTTAGAAATAAATGTGGCAAAATTGCATTCTTGTTCATTATCCTAAAAAAGGGTCCTGGGAATGTTTAGATGAGTACCCCCAAAAAAGTTCCCTTTCTCTTAAGCAGATAATAAATTGTCTTGTTCCTGTGGTAATGCAAAATGCATGCAAACAATTGCCAGTTTTTAGTTCACTTATAAACTGAATATTGAACTCTGTTCAGTTTTGGACACCTTAGTGCCTGAAAGACATAAACAGGAGGGAGTTTGGACAAAAGAAACAGATGAGACAGAGAATGGTTAGGACTGACTTTTGAAAGAATAAGCTGCAGATACTTCGTTATTTGTAAAGGTGGGGAAATCTTTTCTGGCTACACACTGTGAACATTTGTAAGAGATGGGTTTTTCATGGGAGGAGTGAATCAAGAGGTAAAAATCAAATGATGGGATGAAATTGAAAAAGAAAATGTAGACTGAACAGGAAAAACCTTATTTAATATGAACTAATGGACTCTGGAATAGCTTCTCAGGAGAAACGGGAAGTCCCATAGTTAAATACTGCAAACTAAAATAAATGTTAGTCAATGTCTTATAGTGAACAAACCTGTATTTACTTAGGGCTAGCCTAAATATACTACTGTAATAGGCTCTTTTCCTTTTATGTTCCTGATTGTAAACATTTCATTCTGATAACCCTATTTTTGTCAGTAAGACTAATAATTACACAATCTATGTGAAAATTTAAACTGTTTTAATTGCTTTGAACTATTTACTTGTAGAAAAGCTAATAAGTTGTGGTTTTTTTTTTTCATTTTGACTCAGCTATCTGTATCACCAGATTCCAAACATGGTAATTTCTTTACTTATAACCTGTTTTTGAAGAAGACACCATCAAATGGAAATATGCAATTTAAAAGAGTACCAGGAAAGACCAGAATTTTCAGTGCACACAATCTAAAAATGAAAATTTTCAATAGTGATGTTTGTTAAAGTACAGGTACCTATTTTTCCTTCATTTAAAGTGCAGTTTACTTTCATTTTGTTGCTGGATTGGTACTGAAGTCTAGAGGGGTTTTTTTGGTGGGGGGAAAAATCGTACCACTGTTATAAATGTAACACCTACAGCAATTTTCTTACTAAAAATACTTTTTGTAATGGGTTTTAGATTCTAGTTTTGTGCTAGTAAATTTGGTGGCAGTCATGGCAAATTATGAAGTGATATCTTTTATGGTAATCCGCTAGAACCAAGTGTTACATTAAAAAGCATTTGGTCGTCGCTCTGTGACCTTTTAACTACTGCTCCCTTTTGGATATAAATGGATCTTTTAAATTCAAACTCCATCCTACCCCCAAAAAATCTAAACACATCTTAGGTGTGTTGTAAGGTGTGCCTTGGTGTTACCGTCTCTTTTCCTTCACTTGATTTGTTTTGGAGCATCCATAGATCTGATACTTTGTATTGCTGCTGATCCCCTCCTCTGAGAAGCCCCCTCTACCTCCACTACACACACTTTGACTTTCACATAATTTTCTGTGTATAACTATGGCTCTGTACAGTTTTATCTCCATTGCTCAATGGCATTTTTACTGAGTACTGACCTAACACAATTTAACCAGTCAGCCTGGATGGAGTCACTGTTATAATCAGGTTCAGAAACTCTGCTTGTATTGTACTGTAATAGGATAGCTTTCGAATGAGATTGTATTAACATGACTTTAGAAACATTCAGCCCCCAACCATTTTAAACTGCATAGTCCTGGCTGTAAATCTGTTAGAAGCCAATTGTGCAGTCAAGGCCTTATATTTTGCAGTGATGTAGGCTGCTATTTTAAGACTTCACATTTCATACTAATGACTAGTTTGCCCACTGTTCTGCATGTACAAGTACCAAGTCAGGTACACTTCGTATTTAATATCAGCCACAGAATTTATGACTTGTTCATTACAAACATTCATCTTCACTAAGTGTATGGTACATTGCTCCTTATCAAGAACTTTATATGCAGGTTATATCAATATTTTTGTTACTTTGTCCCTTATGAATGTGAAAACTTTGTGTGATTGTTTCCATTTTAACAAGCCAGATAAGTCTGTACTGTGACTTTATGAAGATAACTTTTCAGCATTATAACATGAGGTTTTGTACATGTTAAAGTATATTGTATATAGTTGAATTGTACAGGCACGTGACAGAGAAACTGGATAATCTGACATTAAATGTTTTAAATGTTAATTTAAATTCTAAACTATTTTAATTTTGTGTTAGGGACCTGTATTTAAATGAGATTCTTACTAAGGCCTTGCCATCCCTTATGCACATGCTTAACTTTAAGGACTGCATAGTCTGTACTGAAAATAGATAAGTACTGGCAGAATTGAAGCCTAAGGCTGTGTCTACACTGCCGCGCCCAAGGAACACATCCACTGTTTTGGAACAGTTTCCAATAAAGCAGACGTGTTCTTTCGGCATCCCTGTATTCCTCATTGTATGAGGAATGAAGGATGTTCTAAAAGAGGAGGTTTTTCAGAAATTTTAGCCCTCTGTAGATGGACCAAATTTTGGAAAAGCCTCTTCCGGAAAAAAAAAGTGGAAAAAGATACGCAAATTGCATTTTGCAATTTGCATATCTTTTTCCGATATAACCCTGCATTCTAGACATAGCCTTAATCTGCATAAAATCCAGTCAGCAGTAAAATCAGAGCTGAGTTATACATTTACTAGCAGTAGTAACTTGCAGGATACATCAGTGCTATTCATTTAGGGGGAAAGTGTTTGCTGCTCATTTAGTGGCAACAGTGTATCCTAACCATTAGTCAGTCTTGCATTTGAATGGATGCCATTTAAAGTGGCCCAGGAGTCTAGGACTCAATCCTGTAATGACCTCTGCATGGCTACACCCAAAGTGGGTGTAGGATCAGGGCTGAAGGTTTTATAACTTTACAGAAACACTGACTTTTCTAGTGTTAGAAACCTTCTTCTAGTAAAGTTGGCAAGAGCTAACAAGTCTGCACTGATTTTTGTAAAGTTGTATTTAATAAAATGTCCCAGATACAGATTTCTGTTGTATGTATTTTTTCGCTTACTGTGAAATGAAATGGCAATCATTGCATTAAAGTGCTGAGTCAATTAGGTGCTTAAATACCCCTGTGCAACTTTAACTAATGGCTTCACATCCTCAAGAACTTTGCTAAATTGTGGTCCAAAGCTATAGGTTTTTTATTTTGCCAGTCTAATCAGTTTTATTTTAAAACATACTAGGAGGCTATGCCCCTGCTCACTACGCTCACCAGCCCCGCTCTCTCTGAGGGGGTAGGCAGGCCCAGCTCTTCCCCCGGCTGCCGGGAAGAGGAGGGCCAGGGCTACAGCCACCCAGCCGCCTACCTCTCCCCCACTGCAGGCCATGGGCTCTCAGCCCCCCTCCAGCTGTGGGTGGAGGGGTGGTGCAGGCCACAGTCTCAGCTGCAGGAGGAGGGCCAAGGCTGTGCCAGCTGAGGCAGTTAGGGCTCTCCCCTGGCTGCTGAGGAGGAAAGGAGAGGGTTGGCCAGGCCTGGACCAAGCTGAGGGTGGGGCCTCTTCCTGTGGATGCATAGTGACTTAATGGTGTCATCCTGAGGGAAAAGTTTTTTTATATATAGAGAAAGACTAGACAACATTTCAAGATTCGCTTGTAATCTCTGCCCACGGAAATAAGGCTGTGCATAGCTTATTTAAGCTACCTGAATGGCTTTCCCCTTCTCATAAAGAGCTCTTTTAAAGCACCTCTCATCAAGAGCATCACTCTTTCAAGCATCATCAAACAGGAATCTATTCAGAATAAGAGTTAAATAGATTCATACCTTATACATGCATAAATCCCTGCACCTATATCAGTTTTGTGGTTTTACAACCATATTTTGCTCTCCTCTTTTGCCATATGAAAACAATATCAGTCGAGGGCCACAGACAAGTGAGAAGCAAAAAACCCCAAACATACCCTCACTGACGTGGCCCCAGACTGAGAAGAAGAAAGACATTCCCTTCACACAGCAAATTCTTGGAGAGCCCAGCTTCGTAGATTGTGTGTGCTCCAGCCCCATGGTGCAGAAGCAGGGTGGGAGAGGGCTGGAGCACCCACAAAGGCTCCCCAATGCTGGGGGGGCTCATGAGCCTCGGGGCCACATCCAGCTCCCAGGCCTGAGGTTCCCCAGCCCTGCTTTAGATCATGATTTGAGGACTTTAGTAATTCAGCCAGAGGTTCTAGGTCAATCCCAGGAGTGGGTGGGTGAGGTTCTGTGGTCTACAATGTGCAGGTTGTCAGACTAGATCAGGGCTAGTCACCTTTGGAAGCCCCGAGGGCCACAGTTATATTCATAACACATGCCGAGGGCCGCAACTTAACTGTGGTTGCATATACATGCAAATATATGTGCAAATATATGCAAATACAGTAGCTGCTTTCACACTGATGGGTATGAATATAAAGATTGAGGAAAGACTACACAACACACAGGCCCCATTTAAGTCAGTTCTGATATTAATAAAATGCAATATTTATCCGATTTCCACCCATATGACAGCACTTCTAGTGAGCAATGACAGTCCAGGAATTTAACTACTAAAACACATATCAACAGAAGACCATTCTATTGACTTACTTTTTTGTTTTGGCTCCCACCCACAGGTCACGTATTAAGCCCCGTGTAAACACAAACCGCACCCCAGTCTGCAAACAAATGGTTTTAAGACAGTGGGTCCACAGGTTTAGCCCCAATGGTCTGCCACTATATTTACCTGCGCCTCCGCAGGTACAAGCATTTGTAGCTCCTTTTACAGGCTGCACATCATTGTTCTCAACAAATGGGAGATACGGGAAGAAGAGCAGACCAGCACACCACTTCCCGCAGCTCCAATTTTCTGGGAATGGTGATTTGTGTCCAATGGGAGGCTGAAGCGTCTATACCTAAGAAGGTGCAGGTAAATAGAGCGGTGGTCTACCTGGAGCTAGCCCTGGCAGACTGGATCAGGCCTATGGGCCAGTATTTGCCCGCTGCTGTAATAGATTATGGCTGTGTCTACATTGGCACCCTTTTCCGGAAAAGGGATGCTAATGAGACACTTCAGAATTGCAAATGCCGCGGGGGATATTTAAATCCCCCGCGGCATTTGCATGAACATGGCTGCCGCTTTTTTCCGGCTCGGGGCTTTGCCGGAGAAAAGCGGCAGCCATGTTCATGCAAATGCCGCGGGGGATATTTAAATCCCCCGCGGCATTTGCATGAACATGGCTGCCGCTTTTTTCCGGCTCGGGGCTTTGCCGGAGAAAAGCGGCAGCCATGTTCATGCAAATGCCGCGGGGGATATTTAAATCCCCCGCGGCATTTGCAATTCCGAAGTGTCTCATTAGCATCCCTTTTCCGGAAAAGGGCGCCAATGTAGACACAGCCTATGGGTTTAACAGTCAACAGCTTAGGATCACGATTCCTTCAAGGGGCTAGCCCCAGCTAGTATGCATGAGTTATCAGTGTTCCCTCTAAGATTTTCCAGCCATGAGTGGAGTGAGTTTTGGCTTGTGCACCAATATTGAGTTCATGTGTGCTGGTTTGGATGTGTGCTACTCTGGTGTCGTGAGAATCACAGGTCCGATGATGCATACCCAAGGGGGGAAGGACAGAACCAGGTGGACCGTTTTAGCAAATAAAAAATATTTATTTATAACAGTGATGAATTTATAGTATTTATTCTAAGATTTTTAATAGACTGTTAATAATGAATTTACAGTATTTATTATATTTATTCTACTATTTCTAGTTAAACGTGTCAGAGATATAAGGATGGGAATGGCAAGGGGAATAGTCTCTAATCTTAAAATATCCAGCTACACTAATTAAATAACAGTGATAACTACAAACTCTATGTACTACCCAAAAACAACTACAACACTAAGCTTATACAACAAGAAAAAATCAAATCATATAAACCAACTTACACAGCACACGGAACATTTCACAGATATCGGTTCGGTTGTGAAGGCCTTGGTTACACCCGAGAGTCGGGGGAGGGGTGGCTGGTCGGTTGATCAAGCCGGCAGTGCTTTGAAGTATACGAGAAGACACACGCACGGTGGTATGTGTGTTGTGAAGACCTCGTCAAGTAAACTGTGTGATGGGTATTTATCCCCCAATCTGCACATCGCTTTCCTGCGCTTGCATATTACCATATATGGCCCAATGGTCTCCAAGTGGGGGGTCTGTGTCCCAGGGGTTGGGCCGAAACTGAGCAGGTTTCATGCGACCAAGTAAGCCCCGCAGTTCTCACGCCAAGGTGACAGGTGGGAGAGTCTGAGGCTATTTTCTCCTTTTCACACCTTTCCTTTTTCTAAAGGCAATGGTATGCAGGAAGTGTGCGGCCAGTTTCTCCCAAGGAGTACTGCAGCCCACTATAGCAAGAGCAGCCTGGCCAAACTTTTTTACTGGGGGGGCAGTTTTTTCTCTAACATCTGGCTTATTAGCATGCACACGTTCCCGGCCGCAGGAGCAGAAACTCACCTATCCCGCCACGCAGCATGTCCTGTTCCCAGCCACCGGAGCAGACCCGGCCATGCAGCAGGTCCTGTTCCTGGCTGCCGAAGAAGACACCCCTCTCCCCATGTGGCAGGTCCCAGCTGGCTGCGCCATCTCAGCCGGCCCCACCTTCCGGACCAAACACCTGCCACGCAGCTCTCCAGAAGAGGTGGGCATGGAAGAATTATTTGTGCACACCTATACAGGTGCACACCTTTGCGGGAACTATGCACATGAGCATACTTGTGTGCGAGAAATGCAGAAGACTCTTCCACTGCCAACTAATTAGAATTTTTACTTGTAAATGCATCTCCAGTGTACAAGTGAAACAGTGATTTTAGGTTGCCGTGAAAGGCAGAAGCATCAACAAGGCTGTTAACACTTTCACACCCTCTGTAATATAATTAAGTTTACCTAGCCACTAGGTCAAAGGAAGATTTCTTCTGTCAAATCTAATTAGCTCCTCTCTTAAGGGTGAATTTACTGCAGTGACAGAAAAAACTCTTCCATCTCTGAAGTAAATGTCCATGCCACGAGTGGGGAACCTCAGGGCTGGGGGTTGGATACAGCCCCAGAAGCTCAGGGCCCTCCCCTCCTTCCTAGCATTGGAGAGCCAGCGCTGGTGCTCTAGTCCCTCCACTGCCCCACCACGGGGCTGGAGCACACAAAATCTACTAGGCTGTGCCCCCTAGAATTTGG